AACCTGCAGGGCAACTGGCAAATCAAAATACGTTCTAACAATGAATTCAACCAATGGCGCCCAAGATTGTGGCATTTTTGCTTTAGCAAGTGGTAGGAGATCATCAAATGTTGCATCCAGTATCAGTGCCTGAAGTGACAAATATTTACGATAACAATCTTAATCATTTAATAGCCATGATATCTCATCGCCGTGCAGTATAACAACGTTCGTGGAAAGGTAGTAATGGGACAACAAACAGAAACGGAATCTTGAGACCGTTCATGCCTCGCAATTTGCTTTTGCCTAGAAAACCGTCAGACTGGTAATTCTTTTAGGAGACGCACATGGCAAAACCACCATAATGATGACTATCTGGCGTTGCAGCAACTGATTGGGAAAGCTGCCGGATGATTGGAATATCAGATGTCCGGAAAACCAGCGAAAAGCCGATCAAGAAGCCACCAAAAAGAAAAAAGGGAAGAAAAGTTGTGTCTTGCCCTGAAAGCCAGATACACAGTAGATGTGCTGCCAGGCTGAACCTGGATTACAAGGGCCGGTGGTATAGTGGCAAAATACTGCGTCCGGACATATACAGGAGTGGTTCGGCTCCTTCCCGGTGCAGGAGTTTTTGGAGGAAGGGCTCCGTTCACAAGACCAGATTACAAATTGTACCTGAGTAAAGAAAAGCCATCTTAATAAGTTACAAGATTCCTGAAAAAGAAGGGTACGAAAATCAAATTTTATACTTTAATGTACGGATAATTAGCAGCAGCCCATGTTGCGGGAAATCCACCAATTGACCATGCATAAATAACGATCTGATTCTCACTAAAACCCAATTCATGTATCGCATACTGCATAACAGCATCAACTGCTGCTGTTGTTTGCTTTGGTGTCGGCATCCCACCACTTTCACCAAATCCTAAAAAATCCACTCTAAGCTCAGCAACTATTACAGTGGCAATAACAGTAACAGCAATAATGACAATAACAATAATGATAAAGAAACGTTAACAAAAATAATAATATTAGGGAATAACTTTTGATGATTAGTAAGCAGAGCTTTCTCATCGCATTCAGGCAAAATTACTGCAAATTACGGTTAAAAAAAGGTGCAGAGTTCTTTAATAAATTAATCCACAAAATAAAAAAAATGTAATTAAAATAGTTTTATTTAGGTAATATCAAGGCATGCATCTCACGATCGAAGAGCCTGACATCACTGCACTTAACGTTTGAAAGCATTTCAGACGCTAATAACACCAACACCAGCTCCCCAGAACAACTGTTAGGGCGATTTTGATATCTTTAAAGTTGAAAAATTGGAAATTTTACCAAAAAGTTGAAAGATTGGAATCAGAGAGCGGTAACGAAATTATAAAAAAAAGTACCAGGCTGGTTCCATCCAAGTACAGAATAATTCAATGCAAGCGGTGTCAACATGATGCCTGTCTCATAAAATCCAGCATTCCCTTCACATGCAACGACCAAAATGTTCCCTCTCGTGCCACTACCTCGCCGATCAACAAACATTGCATCCACGCGGTTTCCGTCAACTGTTACCACCACAGCGCGTCTACCGCCCTGCATTTGTCATAGTTCAGAGGGGAAAATTATTTTGAAAACAATGAAATGCACGACTTTTTGTCTTTAGTGATTTTTTTTAGCGAGACTATTCCCATATATTTTTGAATCACCCAGTTTTTCTGCTCGACAGTCAGAAAAATTAAGCAGCCGGATTTTCGATAACGCGGCGTATGATCTTGTACTGGCCCTGAGATGAGTATCAGTTGCACGAAATAAGAATGAAACAAAAAGATACCTTTTCAACCACAAGCCGACGTCGATGCTCAATGAGGAATGACTCGATTAATTTGTTCAAAAACGATATGGAGCCAGGATAAATGAGACCACGAGCAAACTCAAAAATGATGTTATAGGATAAGTAATCTCGAAACACTGTGTACAGTAAACTGTCATCTCTTGTGAACCGGCTTGGTGTTTTGAAAAATTTCCTTGGCTCTTTCCTGGCCTGGAAATCCACTGGAGCAGCAAATATCTGAAAAATGCAAAACATACAAAAACAACGAGTATATAAATGAAAACAATAGTAACAGAATATTAAACAAATAATTTAAGAAAAACCGGAAATCTCAATACCCGAAAATGGAAAATTTGCAGCATATAGAAATTGGTTTGGATATCTCATGTTAGTGATGCTACTAAAAGGCACCCAAAAGCTAAGCATAGGTATGCCAGACCTTTTGATTCTGAGCTATACAGCTTCGGCCAATACCCAGCAGTCGCAAGATATGTGTGTGTGGGTGGGTGCGTGGGTGT